GAATTTATACAATACACATTAATCAGAAAAATAGTTTAGAATCTTAAAAGCTACATAAAATTTCTATCTAGCGAGGTAATAATGGCGCTGTTCTTGAAGCAGGTAAACTTATAGTTTCGCCATTAGTAGAGACGATGGTGCCGAACACTGCAGAGACACACAGACTCAGGTAATTCACACATGCTTAATCTCTCTCTCTCTCTCTCTCTCTCTCTCTCTCTCTCTCTCTCTCTCTCTCTATGGTTCAAGCCTTCGTTACTAGCTCAAAAATTATGTTTTGGAATTAGCAAAGGAGGCGTGGGATGAAATACTTAAGTAATTAGTCCTATACACAAGAGCGTTTTAAGGGCAAAAACCTGACAATTGGCATATTTGTATACTGAAAAATAATGTTTTTATCCTATTCCTCGCTATGTTCATTTGCTTGTTCAGTGTCGTTGTGTGTGGGATTTTTCTTCTTTTTTTTTTTTGGTGCTGAAACCCATTCATGTCAATGGCTTGTGCCACGCGAGGACGTTTTGTTGCTTCGTCGACCAAAGCGCAAGCGGATCTAGCTAGACCGGAAACAAAACAACAGGCACGCCGCACACACTTGTTTGGGCTTGCGAGCCGGCCAAATAGTTGGTTAACGTTACGTTTTGAGTGGATGATGAGCGCGAGACGCCGAAATGGATGCCAGTACGATTCTGAATGGAAAGTTTACTTTTAAAAAGTTGCCAAATGGTTCCATTGACGAGACCAAAGTGATCTGTGTGTTTTGTCGTTGTGAACTGAGCTATCATCATCGCAGCACGTCCAGTCTGAAAAACCACTTGATGATGGCCAAAGCACACACACACACACACACACACAGCTGATGCGAATTCTCCGCCCCCTCGTCAATATCAGGACCTCGTCAGTATTTCTTTCACCCTTTTATTGATGGACAGTGATACATTGTGTGAGAGATTATTTGCTCCAAGTGAGAATGTTAGTGTGAAATTGAACACAGTATATCCCAATGTTGTTTTAAATAAAAAACATTTGCACAAAGCAAGCCGATCCACTTTTCCATGTTGATAAGAGCATTAAAATGAGAAAAAAATAAGAATAGAATAGATAAAACTGTGTGATTAATTGCGATTAATCGCGAGTTAACTATGACATTAATGCGATTAATCGCGATTAAATATTTTGATAGTTTGAAAGCACTATTAAATTTATAAACTCATGACTTCAAATAAGTGAAGTAAATCAAGAAATCCAGAGTTTGCTTCTACATAAAGTAACAGAAGGGTTTGCTGAATTATGCATTTGAGGAACCAATCGTATTGTAGGAAAATTATGTGATGTATCATGTCACCTTTGCCATGCTCCTATTCTATAAAAACTGTTGTATTCTTTTTGCTGGTGGGATTCTCTCTGAAATTGGGCTGAGATCCTCCGGCCGTGATTAAAGCAAATTCATAGGCATTGTCTGGAGTCTGTTTAGGTATTGCTGCGCAGCATCTTATTTTAGTGTTCATAGGGGTCAAGACTTTGACTGACTCAGTCGACTTCGATTAGGAGACACGCTAGAGTATAAATATTATTGAACGTCGATCAGGAGATGTTTAGGGACGTCGATTAGGAGACGACCCAGGTAAATATTATTGAACGCCGATCAGGAGACGACCCAGGTAAGTATTATTGAACTCCGACCAGGAGACGACCCAGGTAAATATTATTGAACTCCGACCAGGAGACGACCCAGGTAAATATTATTGAACGTCGATCAGGAGGCGTTTAGGGACGTCGATTAGGAGACGACCCAGGTAGACTTAAGTCAGATGCGTAGGGGAAAAATCTACCACAATCCGTTATCACTTGGAAAACAATGTTGAGCTCCACTTGGTGCCACTTCTCCAGAACTAGTTTGATAGCCAAAAGTTTGTGCGGTTGTCATAACTCAGTGGCTGTTAACTTTTCTAAGACCATGCATGGATGGCGTTTCAGAGGAGTACCTAATCTCTGGGATAGGATGGCCCCAACTTCAGTAGTAGGACTTCAAGGATAAACGGGAGATCAAGGTTTGGATTTCGGAGTATGGGAGGCATGATTAGGCTTTTCTTTTCAAGAGACTGCTAAGGGGAGCAACCACACCACTGAAGCCTCTGAAGAAAAGAAGTAGCAAAAGTCCAGGAAGCACTGCAGTTCTTACAGGGTGATGGATGACTTGCACCTTGACAGGATCCATCTGTATGTCATTGGAGGACTGGTGGAAGTGGCCATGTCGGAGGTGGTCTGTCAGGTATAGTAGGATGAATAGATGAGGATGTGATATATACTGTATCAGTGGTTCTCAACTTTCGTTCTGAGGACATATGGTCACTGTGATTTTGCCAAGTAAGACATGTTCCTGGATCCTGGATTCCTGGATTTTGTTGATCCTGGAGCAACATTCCTGTTCGAAAGTGTAGTCCCTATCCTTACCCCTAAACCTAACCCTACCCATAACTTCTCCCTAAAATCAGAGGGAAATGATAGGTGAATAACACTGATGTAGAAGCACCAAACCCTGATTTCAACCCTAAACTTCACATAAATTGTAAACTTGTCCTTCAAATCTGATTAGTTGATTGTAATGTTGTTCCAGGATCATCAAAGATGTTGATCCAGGAACCTAGCCTGGGAAAACCCAGACAACTTCCGGCAAATTTAGATTTGCTCTGAAAGTCAGTCTGGCAAAGAGCTCATTTAAACCCATTTCCAATCCGTCGAAATCGAGGCACCAATCAGAAACGTTGGGGCGGGCTTTACACGATGAAGACAGCACTGGGATTTTGAAGCAGATTTTGTAGCCTACATTACAAAGATGGATGCCGCCGTCGAACATCACTCGTTCGAATCAGCCATCGCGTCTGTTTTAAGCGATTTGAACGTTTCCTTTTAGTTAAAAACCGAGCAAAGAACAACACTCGGAGATATCTCTCCGTCGCTCTGCATACGTCATCTCCTTCATCGCTCTGATTGGGTTTAGGTCTATCCGCGACGTCCGTTGGTGACGCCCCACTGGAAATGATTTGTCTATGATGCTTTGCCAGACCATAACTCAGTTACAACTGAGAATGGTCTGGTTTTAACCAGGCTACCAGGAACCAGTTCTACTTGGTGAAATCACGTTCACCACCTATAGCACTGCACTGTATACATATCTCCCTTACCCTTACCTTTTTGCTACTGGGCTGAAGATTTGTCCATAAGGGAAACAAAAAATAATGAGCAGTTCTGTGGGTCCCCAGATGAGAACCACTGATCTATATAGAGGATTACAAACCAATGAATTTTGTATGCACTACTTAAATCGAGATGGTCACACCGCTCTGGATCTTAAGGGAGGCTGTAATCAAAGGGAGAAGATACCGATAGAACTTGACAGTAATTTCAGTAAGTTGTGTTCAGGTAGCAGCATTAGATAAACTCATCCCGGAGCAGAGGCAGGTCGACCGCACAGTCCCAGGAGCAGAATGAGGCTGTTGAGAGGCTCTTTGGGAACTAAATACTGTACATTACAGCAATTGTTTACAGAACATTGTACACTAAAGGTTTCTGTAAATACTAAAGGTGTGGACATGATATGGACGATGGTGGGACTCTTTACTGAGGTGGGTAAACTATTATTTATAGGCTGAAGTCGCATCTTTTTCGGCAACACCTGATCCATTAATACTAACACTTTCCTTTCACTTCTCTTCTACTCTATATCTATTAAGAAAAGATAATTACGTATACTGCGTTAGACCAAACTGGGCAGGGTCACAGCACTTACGTAATGTTGTCCTATTGTTAGTTTAACTGCTTCTATTGCTCTCCTCATTTGTAAGTCGCTTTGGATAAAAGCGTCTGCTAAATGATTAAATGAACATGTGTAGAAAGTCAAAGACCAGCGAGGCAGCCCTGGAAGTTTTTTATTTCCCCTGCACTTTAGTGAGAAGTACTGCACAGCTGTACAGATGTGGGGTCACTCTCCTTTCGTGACTTGCACACCTGTAGGAATGAAGCTGGTTGTCAACAACATGTAAACCCTTCCATGCGTTTTTTAAGAAGATATTGTCTGACAAAGCGCATACACAGAATGTTTCCTTGGATATCAGTAAAACGTTTAAAAAAATTCTGGTTAGAGGGGAAAGCCCTTGTTCATTTTTCCCCATGTCACTCAGAAACACCTGTGATGTGGTGCTCATTTTCCTACTTGAGGCGATTAATTATGACATCATTTGGATGGGGAAATCAGTGCAATGACAGATCAAGGGTGAAGTTCTTGAAAAACAGGCTTAAAGTCATTAAGCGATCATCCATGACTTCATGAAAAAGGATTGTGCTAATTTGTGTTTGTGTGTGTGTGTGTGTGTGTGTGTGTGTGTGTGTGTGTGTGTGTGTGTGTGTGTGTGTGTGTGTGTGTGTGTGTGTGTGTGTGTGTGTGTGTGTGTGTGTGTGTGTGTGTGTGTGTGTGTGTGTGTGTGTGTGTGTGTGATTTGGGAGGAAAGGAGATGGAGACAACTGGAAAAAAGTGATACACTGCAACATAGAGCAATTTGTTATAGTAGCCCAAGTCTTGGCAACATGTGGGTGTTGCTGTGGGTGTAGGACATTTTTGTCCTGCTGCCAAATCAACTAATAAAATACGCCATCACAACATCCTAAGGGAAGTGGCACTTAAGTCCGAAAATCCAGGAAAGGAGAAACACAGACAAAGAAGCCAAAAGGCAAAAAGACTTAGATGTTGTAACTAAAGTAAAAAGTACCAGAGTGGCAATCAAATTTATTGTCTGGTTCATCATCAATTAATTAACTAATATAAAAGAAGAATCATTTTGGGAAACGCATGGTAACAATATCAATGTCTAAGTTTCATCTCTATATGCCAAATGCTTTGGGAAGATGGACTCATTTCAGTTTAATAATACCTGGAGAAACACCTATCATTCTTTATGTGCATCAGTGGAAACAAAATATTGCATCTTCACGTAATTCATGAACTTAAACCAGCTGAATTTGTACATCATTTGAAATGTAGCTGTGGCAGAAATGGGGAGGAATAGAGTTATACATTAACTCCACCTCTTATTAAACGCCCAGCATCTCTCAGTCTCCCACCCCTACAGCATCTCAGCTCTTTAAAAGCAGCCCATGTTGCATTTCTGGGCAATTTGATCTAATTATTGTCTTTAGACACCTGATTTCTCTTATTCATCCACACTTCTACTTCCATTGAATGTCAGAGAGACCTGGAAGAGAGAAGATTATTCACTGAAAACAAGCTTTTCTGTCCTGGACGAAGATGGTTTCTTTTCCTTATTTACTAACCATTTTGGTTACCATTCAACTCAGCTTATCTGGCTCCAACTCCCTTGTATTAGGCTTGAGGAAGATCTGCTCATTGTGCAATGGGCCCTCAGGGGACCTCAAGGGCCACCGAGCTGAACGTTTATCCGGGGAGGAGATCACATCCATGTTGGCATTAGATGAACCCTGTGGGGTTTACACCCTACCGTGTGCTCAGGGTCTTCGGTGTATCCCTCTTCCCGGGGAGCAAAGCCCCCTTCAGGCACTGCTTCAGGGACGAGGGGTCTGCAAACACATCAAAAGCACCATTACTGACATTCCTCCACCTACAGGTAAGATGGTCTTGTCTCATGGCATCTAATCTCACATGGATTTTGTCTGGTTTGAAACTGGCTAACCTATAAAACTAAACCTAAAAGTTGAGCATGTAGATATGCAATTCACGTTCAATTTTGAGTTGTTCATATGAAAATGTGTAACAATGATTAATAAGTTATATAATTATTTTTGCATGTGTTGAAGAGGGAAAAGAAACCAGCAAACTTAATGTAAAAGGCTTATCTGTACTTTGTTTCCTAAAATGGTAAGAATACAGTACAAGGTACTTTTGAGCATCTTAAGTAAGTGCTATAAGTTTTATGTTACAGACTACCAACCATCAACCACTGATAACAATGAAAAGGTAACATATCTGCTAATGGCAGAAATTTTGTTCTGCATAAATATTACTATACTGTTCATACTGTCTGACTTTGAGTCATAAATTAAAACTTTTGCATTAATCCTGTTTTCGTTGTTGTTTCATTCTATAGGGTCCTTGTCGTAAACTGTTAAACACAGTCCTCCAAAGTATTGAGCTCACGATCATTCATTCAATTCAGGACATCTACATCCCCAACTGTGACAGACAAGGCTCCTTCAGGAGGAAACAGGTGTGTAGAGAAGAAAGAAGGTGTTTTAGCAATGCATACGCCAACATCCTACGTTTTAGGGTACCCTTTAACGTCAGTTAGATGACGCTATCTAATCCTAAACCTACCCCAGACCTAAACCTACCCGCGTCATCTAACTGACGCTAAAGGTAAAGCGTCAGTTAGATGACGCCCTAGGATCGTCATCTAACTGACGTTAAGGGTACCCTAAAACGTCGGATGTTGACGTATGGTCAAAAGCGTCAGACAGATGACGTCTTGGGATGAGACTGTGTTAGTTAAAGCAGAGGAATAAACGTGCTGCACCTCACTTGAGTTTTAAACGCAACAAATTGAACATGTTTGCACTGTCCAATCTGAATTGTTACTTAAAACCGTTTCAATTAATCCATTTGTCTGTATGTTTTGCCCCATTGCCATGATTGTAAGAATGCAATCTGTTCTCTATGAACAATAATATAGTTTGCTCTTCTTGAATCAGTGTCGCTCATCAAGGGGAATGCAAAGAGGCCAGTGCTGGTGTGTTGATGACAAAGGATCAAAGATGTCATCCCGTAAAAGAAATGATGGAACTATCTCATGTAACAGTGTCTGAGAATTATGACATAAATCTGGACCTGAAATGTGTTTAGAAAGGACTGAGAGCGAGCCAGCGAAAGAGATGACATACACTGAGAACTCTATGACCACAATCCTTTACAATCCTTCATCTCCCTCTGGTTGTGACAAATATGTTTGCAGCATTATGTGGCATTCATTTTGATGCATAACAATCTGAACAGTTAAAAACCTTTGTTTTCATTTATATTAATTATTTTGTTTGTTAAAAATCCTTTTAATCGTATTAAATGCTTGATGGAAAGATATAAAGATGATATACTCCAAGTGAATGCCATCTCCCATTAATGTGCTGTATGTCTAGATTGAATAAGAGCTATGCAGTAAGAACAAATTACAGTGAAAATGTATTTTTTCAAATTACTTAATATATTTATGTTGCCTATATATTAACTTCTTATATATTAATATATATTAACTGTCCTTTCTTTTGACATAACTATATATATATATGAAACAAAGTAAACTCTGTGTGTGTGATTTTAAAAGAATGTATATAAATGTTGCTCAAGATATTGTAACACTTTATTTTAATCAACAAAATGTTGAACACAATGCAGCTCAGAACATGACATGATTAACATGCAAGACAAAATGAACACTACCTTTAGACTGCAAGCAAATGTGGTCAAACTTTTCTTATATGCGTTTTTTCGTAACAGTCGTGTTGAAATTTATGCTGAGTTTTACATCCCTCATTCATCACTGTTCTGCGCTGCTGGGAATCACTCCAAATATGTAACATATCGGTAGTTCTTCTGTGAATATTGAAGATAGGACTGTGAGGTGTTATTTTGGGTAACAGATACAAGCAAAACTGGAGCGACTGTGTTGTAAATAATAATAAAAATGTGCTCTCTTTCTCCTTACTCTCGCCCTCATTATTGCCCGCTCATGAATTCGCTATAGCTTCCACTGCACATCACCTTACTTGTACAGTAAATGAACATGTAAACACTGACTTTAACACCCCAGTATAGACCAGGGGTGGAGTGGGTTTTTCATTGGTCCAAAGGTTATTCTGAACAAACTCCCTTTCATCCATACTGGCTCTCACCCCAAGGTTCAGGTCAGGGCAACAATAAAACTCATAAAAACCTCCAAATGAAGCTTGGTGATTTTCTGACCATATCACCAGCAATGGCTGGAACAAAAAAATATAAACCTTCACTCACTATATTATACAAAATCGACACAATATTTGCAAACTTAGTCTACTATAAAGAAAAAAGAAAAAATATCGACAAATATTGACGTAACTATTCAACAGTACTTAGTTGAAGCAAATTTGGCAGAGATTACAACCTTAAATCTTTTGTGTATGATGCAACAGACCTGGATTTGAGGATTTTCTGCCTTCCTTCTCTGCAGATCATCTCAAGCTCTGTCAGGTTGGATGGGGACTCTGCATTAAGCAGAGTCTACAAGAAATTGGAGACCCCTGGCTCAAAGATAACTCTGTGAATGAGTGAAACGTACCCCAGTTACGTTTCACTCATTCAAAGAGTTATCCTTGAGCCAGGGGTCTCCAATTTCTTGTAGACTCTGCTTAAACACACCTTCCTGTAATTTTCAAATAACCCTTCAGTTTTTCTAGCCTTCCCCAGATTCAGTTGATCATTGTTTTAAGCTGTATTGATGAAAGTGAATCGATTTAATGCAGATGGATTTTTGATAAAGGAAAGGATAAGGCCACAGTTTGGCAAAAGCTAAGCTTTGAGGACTTCTGCTACTGTAGCTGTTAGGAGACTGACACACAAGCAATTTTCCATTTAAAAGAAGTCTAATAGCAGTCAACACAGCTCAGACGTCTAGGCTAAAACAAGGCAAAATTTGAGCTGTCAGTGAAAATTTAATAGACTTCTAACCATAGCCCAAGAATAGCCTAGATAACATGTCAAATAAATGAAACCAAACACCTTGTAATCACTGTTGACTTTGCTTACATGATGGAATATCATACATCTCGCAAGTTATTTGGGCAAAAATGACATGTAACCAAATTCAATGTTATTTTGGCTAGAAGTGGGTTACTCATAGCCGGACTATATCAGGGCCTGTATTCATAAAGAATCTTAATGCAAAGAGACAAAATTCTAGGAAAATTCTTATAAATTTGGGCGTTTACTCTTGAAATGAAAGAAAATATCCTAGTAAAGAAAAAAGTAATTCAGAGAGTATCTTAACCCTTAAATAGGTCTTAAGGTAAAAATTGTTAGGAGTACGGACGAGGACTTTTAAGAGGCTTAAGAGTTTCTTTAGCAGAGGAGAAAATGACAGAAAGACGAAGAGGGAGATGAAATGTGTTGCAGACAATGGATGACAGTGAGTTAATAAGACGCTATAGATCGACACCCGGCCCGAATTTTCCTTTACGGATGGCCTTGTGTTCATCCACTAACTGGGCTAACAGTAAACACCGTTCCTCTGTCCAGTCGGGCTTTCGCATCCTTCTTGGTTTTGATTCCATGTTTGTTACATTCAAACCAACATTCAAACCACCACTTAAATAGACATGCCAGCAATCAGTGTAATTGGAAAGAGTGGAACAATTTTTATCATTCTAAGCCAATCGCTCTTAAGCTAAGACTCCTACGTAAAAGTTTTAAGCTAAATTAAGAGTTTTCTGAGAGGATTCTTAGAATCTTTATGAATACGGGCCCAGGTCTAGTTAACTGAGATGGTGAAATGACGGCTAATGCTTGCTGGGAAAGATGGTGATGATACCAACAGAAAGACTTTATTTAGGAACAGGTACGTAAACAGGTAAGTAAACTTAACTGAGTAAAGTCGCAGAAGACACAGGGAAACAATGCAGGGTGATTACAGGAATAAGATGGCTGGAAGAAGACAAGGCTCAACGGAGATGACAACTGGAGGTAAGAAATACTTGGACGTCCCAAACTTGTCTAGGCAATGAGTGTGTGGTAATAGTGCTCTTATAATTAGTCCTCAAAGATCTTTCCTTTGGACCCTATCCCTTGCAAACATGGATGGTAGGATTGATACGGCATTATTCAGGTAATTGTAAAAGGTAAGTGACTGGGTTGGCCAGAGCGGCACTAAAGGAGTGAGGTAGTCTGCCTTTACTTGAACAGGAGTTTGAAACTCATACTGTATGTCCACTCGAAGAATTGCTGTGGCGTACACTAGTGAAAGTGATAAAAGTGTATAGCAAGGTTAGTTGTTAGTTGTTCAGGGAAGGAGGAGGCGGGAACCGACGAACGTTTCACACAACTTTAATCATAAAATATTCAATTCAATTCAATTCAAATTCATTTGTATAGCGCTTTTCACAATACATATTGTTTCAAAGCAGCTTTACAGAAAGTGCATTTCAGAAATGTACATAGAAGAATATAGTTAGTCAATCATCATGTATTAATTTAGGGCATAACATATCGCCGGCGTTGAGTCGTCTCATCGCAGGTGTTGGGGCATCTGAAGTCTCCGTGAGAGGCTGGATACAAACTGGAGCTGACGAACGCTATTTACCTCGGGACTAGCGTCCCAAGATAACAGCAGAAAAGCAGATGGGAAATAATTAGCGTAGCTGCTGTTCATAATATTAATGCATTTGATCTGATTCAACAGTAGTACAAAAGGTAAGCATTATGTGAATGCTTGGCTGAAGAGATGCGTCTTTAATCTAGTTTTGAACTGGGAGAGCGAGTCTGAGCAACGAACAGTATCAGGAAGGCTATTCCAGAGTTTAGGAGCTAAATGTGAGAACGCCCTCCCTCCTTTAGTCGACTTAGATATCCTAGGAATGACCAGAAGCCTCGAATTTAGTGATCTTAAAGAACGCGATGGATTGTAGGGCGATAGAAGGTCCATTAAATACACAGGAGCTAAGCCATTTAGGGCTTTATAGGTCAGTAGTAGTACTTTGTAATTGAAACGGAACTTAATAGGTAACCAGTGTAGAGATGATAAAATTGGTGTTATATGATCATATTTTCTTGACCTAGTAAGAACTCTAGCAGCTGCATTTTGGACTAACTGTAGCTTGTTTATTGAGGATGCAGGACAACCAGCTAATAAAGCATTACAGTAATCTAGTCTCGAGGTCATGAATGCATGAACTAACTTTTCTGCATCAGAAACAGATAGCATGTTACGTAATTTAGCAATGTTTCTAAGGTGGAAAAAGGCAGTTCTTGTAACAAATGAAATATGATTTTCGAAAGACAAGTTGCGGTCTAGTATAACACCCAGGTCTTTTACTGTAGTGGATAAGGTAACAGGACATCCTTCTAAATTAAAGTTGTATTGTAAGAGATTTTGTGGGTAGTTTTTTGGACCAATAAGTAATACCTCCGTTTTATCTGGATTTAATAGCAGGAAATTACACGTCATCCAGCATTTTATATCTTTAAGACATTCTGTCAATTTAGATAAGTTAGTGTTTTCATCTGGCCGTGATGAAATATATAATTGAGTGTCATCAGCATAGCAGTGGAAATTAATTCCATGTTTTCTAATAATATTACCAAGTGGCAGCATATATATTGAGAATAGCAGAGGGCCTAACACCGATCCTTGCGGCACTCCATAGTCTACTGACGTTATCTTCGATTAAATTAAATTAAATAAACAAATACAAAACGAATGTAAAGCAGCAGCCCCTCACGGATGACTGCCACACACACATAACATAACGTAAAAGTCCAGGCCTGGTCCTCTCTCGTCTTGCACTGTCGTCACTCCTCCTTTTATTCATCGGATCTGCTTCCGTGAGACTCGAGACTTCCTCGCTAGTTCCCATGGCTCTTGGCCTCGTCCTGCTTGCCACAAATAGTAGGCCCGTCGTGGCTTCCTCGATAGGAAGGGCACTAATACTCATGCCCGCTTATCCTCTTCCCAAACCTTCTGTTCAGCTAATACCTCAAATGTGTGGCGATGAGCCTCCACATCAACCTGGGGTGTGTTTTCCGTTCAATGGCAAAACTCTCTGTTAAAGGGATACTTCAGGATTTAGCATTAAGTTTTGTATTAGTAAAAAACCTGTAGTATTTTCAAATTACCGTGCTTTCCACCCTCATATCCCCCTGAGACGAGAGATTTATGT